TTTGAGCCTCAATCAAGCGCGATTATCTACGGCAGCAGATTGCGAGCTCGCAGGTCTAATTACGAATGCTTGCGAGAGTTTGATAAAGCTAGGACCTATCGCATAGTTTTATCATGTGTATCGGTGTTTCCATCATACCTAATGGATTAATTCAAACTGAATCTATCATTGTGGAAACCGCCTAATCGCTTATCGCTATATCCATAAAGAAAACCGAAAATACGAGCTGATGTTATCGCCTATCTTATGGCGGGTGAATGTGTACGCTGCGATAAGACGCATTTTATTCTGGTCCGAATATAATTACGTACCACGTTCGTCAGAGAGATAGAGAGCCAGCGAGCCAGCCGCGTAGTTAAAATATTACAAAGTGTGTTTTCGGTTACAGAGAACACAGTCATTGTTTGGCTGATAATCTTTCCACTCGGATCCAATAAAACTATACGGGAGACAAATCGCGGTGTGATAAGGCCGGAGATTTGGGTGGACAGATATGCGACCCACCCATGGAATAGATAAGCTAGCAGTATCGCACCGTTGTGCAAGTGAATTTTATCTCTTACCAAGATAAACCTATAAAACTTGTACGGTCATACAGCTTATATGACAATCGCGTTCATAAATACGCCAATCGGTCGGTATGTAAACTGTGGGCACATTCTCTTGCGTTCCACGGTGAATTTTTGATTGGGTCGTAAACCATATTTGAGCCTAACCCTCGATCAGTAGGATCCAATGCTATATTCTGTCGAATCCCACTCGGTCCATCAAATTCTCGTGTCGGTGTGTTACGTCTTATAAGCATGTTAATTTCACCATTTTCAAATCCTATAAGTTTGATAAAGGCAAGGATAATAGATTTTCCTTGAAGAATATGATGACAATTATATAAAATCATGTTACCGAATAAAAGTATCCAACTTTAGAAATGTTAAATATTTAAGTGAATTCGAATGAAATGTAGTTCCTTCTCTGTCTATCATGTTATGATCGTGTCTGTGTATCCCCCCGCACTCTGTACGGGTGTAAATCATGTTATTCGGTTACAACTCGCCTTATCAAGACTGTATTACACGCTGAACGATTAGCACCGAGAAGGAAACGGATTTGTTTAGGGCCAATAAATCAGAAATAGTGTATTTTTATCATACCTAACAAGCCATAGACATTCTATTAATCTACGATAAAATGATGGTGTTTGTTAATATATTTAGTTTCTCTACTTTACTGTTTTAAGAGCTATGTTTATTAAAACGCTTTCTTTTTTATTCATTCATTTTAACTACCTAATAAAATTAAATAAGAAAACGACTGTGTGACAAATTCATCATTAGTTTTAAATGTTTACCTTTTTAAAACTCTACAAAGAAGGCACTAGACGTTAAAAAATGGAGGATTTGGTTCGGAGGTAACCGTCCTAATTAAATCGTCTCATTTGTCAGAGCGGACAGGCGATGACATGTACACAACACAATTACCGCCATCTCGTTCACCCGGCAGTAGATTCGATGACTTGTGTTTGGACTAAGCTGTGGTTTATCTTGCGGTAGAAAACACTAGTACAATGAAACCTTGTCTGGGCATCTGATGGGTTCGACACTGTGGAGTCTTAAACAGAATACCGTCTAAGTCTTCACTTCTATCGTCAACTATACTACATGGAAGTAACAGAAGGTGTCACTTGAAAAAAGTGCAATAATGAGTATTATTGTATTTTTTTTTTTTTTTTTGATGTAACGGTTTGATCCGTCTGGTAAGAGCGTCGCTATAACCTTCATATAAAAGCTTGATCAAACTGATGAAAATAAATACTAGGCTTATGATAGCAATACAAATAAAGAAAAGGGGGATTGTACTATTTTTGTCTCTCTTTTGAGATATTATATGATCACACTTTCCATATTCAATGAATATTTTGTCTTCAAATGTCCTTAGCTGTTGCGAGGACTTTAACGCGAAACAAACAAATACGCGATTAAAGATCTGACTCCTGACAAAATAACCAGACAAATAAGAGGTTACATAGTTGTGTACGATAGAATAAGATCCTCACCACCTCTCCACTTTATAAATATTTTATAATCTGTTGAGGAGTTGAGAAATGGAAACATACGCCTTTGTCAAAAACACATGACAAGTGATAAGGGTTGAGGGTATCCTGAGATTTACTGATAAGAACAGAAATAGGGATCAAAGTTCAGCCTCGCAGAACGACAAACTATCTAACATCAATTACTTACACCAAAATGTACATATCTATTTTTTATTATGATATGTAAAATAAACAGAATGTTCCTCGTCACACCTGTACGATATCCATCAGTGGGGAAGATACATGGATTGGATGTTAAGTACGAGAAAAGCCTGGCCGAGAATGTGTACTGAAGGTCAATATACAGATTATATATCTTTTCTATCATGATGGCGTGCCCAAGATAGCAGGTAAGATATACATGGACAAGATGTAGTGTGTTACATGTGACAGGCACGAGATAGACGGAATAAAAACCATACAGAACGTGTCAATGAATTTACTAAATAAATGTATATAAAGCCCGATAGACATCTGATTTGATGAAGTGATATATAAGGGCGAGAGGTAAATCACGTGTGTGTGTCGGACGTTTACCACGGTGCACAGATTGATACAGCGATACAAACACTTCCGATCTGGACCTCGCATCTACTGATGGTCAAGTCAGATAGTGGTCAATCAACCCTAACCAGGAAACAAATGCAGGATTGTACAGTCGATCCAATAGCATGTGTACATAAAACAGATGTAGTTATTTATAGATTAGAGTTGAAAATCCAATCTTTATATAGGTTAGGTGGACACTCTCAATAGTCCTATCTCTGTGATCACTTCTACATGAATTTGTTCTAGAAAGTGAGCGTTTGTCTGATAATCTGTGTATACTGATTGTAAGTGGTATAATTATAATGTTAAACTAATCAATTAACTTGTTTGGAGTCCAACATAATTACGAATGTCTGCAAATTTTCTTAATTTAAGTTACTCATTTGCTTGGTTGGACATTAAGAATATTTAAGTTCGATTTTGTAAATACACTAGCACGTGCTGCTACTTAGTGGTAGTGATGATCAATCTGAATATGTATTACAGTAATAAGTGTTCACACTTGTACGTATCAACAAATTATTATTTAGCGTGAATCTATCAAACATACTTTAAGATATACAGTAATGTGTTTTCTTTTTATTATATAATTTCTTTCAATTCTTTATCTTAATGACTCGACTTCCTACAGGTATTCAATATAGATGCTTAAATTCCTAAATATTTATCATCAGTGTTATACAGGTGTTTTTATCATTGCTTATTTGACTGTATATTATTATCTGGTCGATGTTAGGCTGATGATTAAACCGAGAAATTAAGATTATTACAATGTCTTAAATGATTATAAATCATTAACATAAATTGGCAGATTTTACAGGGAAAGTTCTACATATCTGTACATACTTGAAACCCATTATTATTAATTATTGGTGTTTTCTAAATAATTATATAATGAAACAACAATGACTATGAATCAATTTAAAAGTGTTTTGTGTAATAAATGAAGAGAAATATGATGAAATGTACAATGTTATGGTGCTACTGTCGAACACAAACGTGTAAAATACCCTGTCAGATTTTTTTCCGTACGAGAACAAACGTGTAAAATACCCTGTCATATTGTTTTCCGTTCGAGAACACACATGTAAAATACACTGTCAGATTGTTTTCCGTACGAGAACAAACGTGTAAAATACCCTGTCTGAATAATCTGTATGACTTTACATGTGTTCAATATATATTAGGTATACATAACCTGTACAATAACAAGGTAACAAGCATTGAGTGATGTGCTGTTTGAATTCCCGTGTATGAAAAATGTTAGTGATGCCCTGTTTGAATAACCCTATATGGCAACAAGTGTAGGATGTGCCTTTTCAAAATTATTCTGAACGAGAACTTACTCTGACTACGTGTGCACTTCATGATCACCATGTACCGAGAATCATGATTATAAAATCAGACTTGTGTTGGGAGTTAAGAAGTTTATCATAGTCTTTGTTATCTGTTCAGAATGATAGGTGATTGGTTACGTCTTATCGGAATTCCTGGCTACAAAGATATGCACCTACCTTTATCAATATTCCGTCCTAAATATCCCTTTACCAAAAGTAACGACAACAAACGAACAGTACCATTATGATAAATTTATAACCATATCATTGTTATTGATTCGTAATCAAGTTTCATATTCATAATTAAATTTTGTTTTCAAATATGAAAAAGTCAAAAGAGTAATACAATATATTTTTTGATAGGTTGAATATATAATCAAAAAAATAAATCTTCCTAATCGACACTTTTGATTTTGTTTGTTTTGAATATACAAGTCATTATTGTTTTTATACTACAAATGCGAAAACACTTTACATTACTGGAAACAGTATAAATAGGTGTAGTAAGTTGATTTACATCCTCATAACAGTCAATTATACTGAAATGACTTGAACTATCTGAAACACGCGTCTGTTTATACATGTAATGTTTCTTTAATGACTTAGAAAGCCACTAACACAATGTATTTACCATTAACACAGAGACCTGATAGACAGGCAATGGGATGTCTATCATTGTAAAACAGTACCTGTTGTGTTTTATTATGCCTTGTCATGACTGTAAATGATAGCTAAACCGATATATGTAGATAATAGTTTCTGTTGAATTTTATCGTTCAACAAACTACGCTAAGAAATATGACCCTGGTAATTGGATATTATTAATTAATGGAAAATTAGAGTAATTATCTTAGTATAACGTTACCAGATATAATGCTGTCTATATTGTTGTACAATATCATAATCTCACGCACGGTGTAATACCACACACGAACTCTGTCCTGACCACGGAAAATATAGATATAGCAAAACTGCATGTGTTTCCTTTCAATATTAATATAATAAAATAAATGTGTACTCACGTTTTAAAGGCTTCGGATTTGATTGTTTTCTTCTCGACATTATTCCAAGTGTTATTTTCACTTCAGTGTGTTAAACTCCCCGGTCGCTTGTCAACTGACATATGCAATATGCGCAATGACACCATGACCTCAGTGAAAATAATTGCGCGGTGACCTTTCCGGGGTCATGATGAATATGATACATAAACATTCAAGATAATCGATAGGTATGATCCGGGAGTATGATTGGTGGACAGACTTATGTATCCACGCTTGTCTAACACTAAAATACACTGCCGGAACAACACCGTGTGACTTACAGTGAGTAATGTTCACATCTAAGTTGTAACCGACGACTCGCTACGCCAGTAAACACCCGGCCGAGTTTTCACCTTTTCCCGGAGCACTAGTTTGCCAACTGATCAGCACGGAAGACAAGCCAGCAATGCTAAGTATATTTGAACTCCAGCCCGCGCCGAGGTACGAGATGTCCGATAAGCGTATCAGTCTTATCTACGTGATTGTATCTTATCTACCCAACAATCAAACCATTCATCTTTACTTATCATGCGCCGTGTCAAAGGGGCGAGCCTCTGATAGGAGCGATCGACCCGTTCTCCTCGTCATATACCCCGAGGTTCTCCACGGACACAATGTCAAATTCTTGTATTCATCTGCAAGCCACCAGATACGATTGTTGTACATATGTGACGCTGTCGTATCTACGATGGCTAATCGCAAGTTTAGCTGTACTGTTTTACCACCATCAGATAGGGGGATGTTTGCGCGGTCTATTGTTTGAAGGGAGGAAATAATTTAGGACATACTTTATAGGGCGTGTAGATACAGTTGTCTTGTCGTTTTTATCTCCATAAATAGTTAATCACATAGCTATCTTATTGATAATGCTATAATCATATTTTCTTTTTTATCTATTTGCCCTTGAATGATGTATTATTTAGGTCAGTCTACTTTTCTTAAAGAAAGACAGATAATTACTGCGAAATCGAAGCAACTTAGAAAACAACTGAGCTATTTCATATAAAACTATAATGAAACTTAATAACAGTGGCAATATATTTCCCAATTTCAAATCGTAATTCATTTTGTCAATTCGAAACCGCCTAACCACATAAAATACTTCCTGTTAAACTATTTCTCTAGTCTTTAATCTTCATTAATATTTGTAACGTCAAAATATTAACATAGCCACGCAAAACATCAAACATCCGATTTTGTAAACTCCAAAAATAATGTCAATAGATACACAAGTTTATTGTGACACAATAGTCAAACATACAGGGGCCACAAGTTCAATGAAACATGGGAGTCCAGTAGAAGGAGCCTCAAATACTTTATAGCGAGACATGCTTCCCAGTAGAAAGGATTATTCTTCAATAATAAAATAAAAGTTTCTTCTTTCGAGATGCCGTTGCAGTACGCATTCAAAGAAAAGTGCTGGTTCCATGAGTATATCGCGAATATGAGTGTTGTTTTGTTGGAATATACAAAAGAAAGGTTCCATACAGCATGCTGGTAGCAACGTGTTGTAGAAACACTGGTCCCGCTCCCCTGTATTTAACCATCTCGCGGTTCCGTTGGTTGCCTTCCCTTTGTTTGATGTCCTCTCTGTCCCAGTTGTTGTCTTTTGTTTTGTTTTGGTGTCCCTCAGGTCCCAGCTGTGTTGCCTTTTGTTTTGTTTTGGTGTGTTTCCGGTCCCAGCTGTCGGCTTTTGTTTTGTTTTGGTGTCTTTCCGGTCCAAGTTGTTGGTCTTTGTTTTGTTTTTGATGTCTTTCCGGTCCCAACTGTTGCCTTTCCCTTTACTTTGATAAAGCACCAGTTCCTGTTATAGTATTGTAATTTGTGTTTGGCGTCGCTTCAGTTCACATTGTTGCCTTTTGTATAATTGCCTTATAATTATCGAATTTAAGTTTCGAGTATGTGTGGTATCTTTTTGTCCATTTAATGTTATGTTGTATTGGTGACTATCATTTAATTGTTAGTTGTATGCCATATGACCTATATATAGTAACAAGTAGACAGATGAAAAACTCGACTAAACGTTAGGTATGTGCCGACGAGCTCTTTTTACAGAAATTATGTATGAAAATCTATATTAAATATTATTCATGGAGATATTTCTTATCACTATATCTGCATATATGAGACGCACTGTGATATGAAATATGAACGTGGATTATCATTGATCTGGTATGACCGTAGATTCGATAAGATATGCTTATTATATGTCAGGTAGCTTTTCCTCTATGCCAATTCATAAAAAGGTATTAATTTACTGATGTCACCGTTAGATAAGCGGCTAGCCTTCTGACACACGGCATACTATACCCTACATACAGCAATGGAAACCCCTACACTCACAAATACCAGTATCATATTCTGACGTCAAATATGAAACGCATCAACACACTGAAGGCCGATCGATGTTAACGTTGGTTCCTAATGAGCTAACGCCCATATAAGGTAAAGGCAGTGTGACATATCTCGAATACTTCACTTCTACACACGTTTTATTTTACAGAAACAAATATGACATCAGATCTAAGTTAAATAAAGTAAGGGTCACCCAATTGTAAGTGTTTCATTTTAGAGGCGTAATCAATCAGGCTTCATTAGCCACTACAAGAGTATCTAACATTAGTGTTTACCGTCTGAAATGGCTCGTAATGCTCTATAGGAATTGTTTAACATAACTTGGTTACATAACTGGTAGCTGTGTGTTATTGAAAAATGCAAGGACATACTAGCGTTATATAATCAATGAAAATGTTTGTAAAATAGATACATGTAATTACATACCTAGGTTGATATCATTAAGATTGGATAAATATGGAATGCTAACATTATGAGATACGTGCATAGCGTGTGTGCAACATTCGTTAACACGTGTTGAGACAAGTTTAGAATCAAATGTAATTGCATTAATTTAATTTAGTTATGTTTTCGTAAATGGGAATGCAAGTTGCTGCAACTGGTTAGTTAACTTATTATATATACACATTACAAACCCAATTTAACAGATATATGTCCGCCTCCAGCATCGCTAAACGGATATTTTATTGATTATTCAGTCAATAAATACGATATTTTCTCATGATATTGAATACAGAAGTGTGCCATCATTAACAACACAAAAATATCATTTCATTATTGACGTTTATCTGAATTTTATAGCATAAATGTATGCTTAGTTGTCTGAATTTTATAATGCACAATCAGTGGAAGTTGTCTGAATTGTAGAACGGTCAACTATTGACAGCTGTCAGAATGTTATAACATACAATTATTAACAGCTGTCTGAATGTAATAACGAATAATTATTGGCGGTTTTCTGAATGTTATAATGTACAATTATTGGCAGTTGTCTGAATGTTATAACGTACAATTATTGACAGCTGACTGAATGTTATAACGTATAGTCATTGGTGGTTGTCTGAATGTTATAACGTATAATCATTGGCAGTTGTCTGAAAGTTATAACGTATAATCATAGACAGCTGTCAGAATGTTATAACATACAATTATTGACAGCTGTCTGAATGTTATAACGTATAATCATTGGCGGTTGTCTCAATGTTATAACGTATAATCATTTGCAGTTGTCTGAATGTTATAACGTACAATTATTGACAGCTGTCTGAATGTTATAACGTATAATCATTTGCGGTTGTCTGAATGTTATAACGTACAATTATTGACAGCTGTCTGAATGTTATAACGTATAATCATTGGCAGTTTTCTGAATGTTATAACGTATAATCATTGGCAGTTGTCTGAATGTTATAACGTATAATCATAGACAGCTGTCAGAATGTTATAACATACAATTATTGACAGCTGTCTGAATGTTATAACGTATAATCATTGGCGGTTGTCTGAATGTTATAACATACAATTATTGACAGCTGTCTGAATGTTATAACGTATAATCATTGGCAGTTGTCTGAATGTTATAACGTATAATCATTGGCAGTTGTCTGAATGTTATAACGTATAATCATTGACAGCTGTCTGAATGTTATAACATACAATTATTGACAGCTGTCTGAATGTTATAACGTATAATCATTGGCAGTTGTCTGAATGTTATAACGTATAATCATTGGCAGTTGTCTGAATGTTATAACGTATAATCATAGACAGCTGTCAGAATGTTATAACATACAATTATTGACAGCTGTCTGAATGTTATAACGTATAATCATTGGCGGTTGTCTGAATGTTATAACATACAATTATTGACAGCTGTCTGAATGTTATAACGTATAATCATTGGCAGTTGTCTGAATGTTATAACGTATAATCATTGGCAGTTGTCTGAATGTTATAACGTATAATCATTGACAGCTGTCAGAATGTTATAACATACAATTATTGACAGCTGTCTGAATGTTATAACGTATAATCATTGGCGGTTGTCTGAATGTTATAACATACAATTATTGACAGCTGTCTGAATGTTATAACGTATAATCATTGGCAGTTGTCTGAATGTTATAACGTATAATCATTGGCAGTTGTCTGAATGTTATAACGTATAATCATTGACAGCTGTCTGAATGTTATAACGTACAATTATTGACAGCTGTCTGAATATTATAACGTACAATTATTGACAGCTGTCTGAATGTTATAACGTACAATTATTGGCAACTGTCTGAATGTTATAACGTTCAATTATTGACAGCTGTCTGAATGTTATAACGTACAATTATTGACAGCTGTCTGAATGTTATAACGTTCAATCATTGACAGCTGTCTGAATGTTATAACGTACAATCATTGACAGCTGTCTGAATGTTATAACGTACAATTATTGACAGCTGTTTGAATGTTATAACGTTCAATCATTGACAGCTGTCTGAATGTTATAACGTATAATCATTGGCGGTTGTCTGAATGTTATAACGTATAATCATTGGCAGTTGTTTGAATGTTATAACGTACAATTATTGACAGCTGTCTGAATGTTATAACGTATAATTATTGGCGGTTGTCTGAATGTTATAACGTATAATCATTGGCAGTTGTCTGAATGTTATAAAGTACAATTATTGACAGCTGTCTGAATGTTATAACGAATAATTGTTGGCGGTTTTCTGAATGTTATAATGTACAATAATTGGCAGTTGTCTGAATGTTATAACGTATAATTATTGACAGTTGTCTGAATGTTACAACGTATAATTATTGACAGTTTTGTTAATGTTAACATGGCAGACAATGAATGTGTGTTGTCGTATTAATACCATGTCAATCATCTTTTATTACCATTTTAAGAGTGCCATCAGTAGATTAACTGAACTGAAATAACTATTCATTAAATAAAGAGTAAGGTCAAACTGTTTTGAATCCTAACGCCTATGAAGAAATTCAGCCTGCTGTTACTGAGCAGTAACTGCAGTCTGCATTATCAGGTCACATGACCACG